CCACCCGTGCTCGGTCGCTCAGCTTCCGCCCATCCCGTCCCGCCCGTGCTCAGTCGCTCAGCTCCCGCCCGCCCTGCCCCGCCCCTGCTCAGTCCCCCAGCTCCCGGCTGCTCCACCCTGCTCTGTCGCTCAGCTCCTGCAGCTGGCCCCACGTGGCTTTGCTATGCCCTGCTCAGTCCCCCAGCTCCCGGCTGCTCCACCCTGCTCTGTCGCTCAGCTCCTGCAGCTGGCCCCACGTGGCTTTGCTATGTGCCCACACTGGACGCTGCCACCTGTCCCCAGCGCCCCAGGGCCCATAGCCACATGCTCAGGGAATCCTTTCAGCGGTGGGGGTTCTGCACAGGTTTTCCCACAGTGCCGCTGTGATTTTTCTGGTACCCGTGGCCTGCTTGGGTGTCCCTGGCGTTCTGGAGCTGGGCCCCGGGCAGGCCTCACATCTCTCTGTGCCCAGGGGGAGACCTCGGTGGAAAACAACACGGTGGAGCCAGAATGGAACGAGCAAATTAGCTTCATCGAGATGTTCCCCCCTCTCGCCAGAAAAATCAAAGTGCAGGTGTTGGACGATGCCAACATCGGGGATGTGGCGCTTGCGACGCACTTCATTGACCTGCAGCAGATCTCTGACCCTGGGAGGAATGGTGAGTGCTGTGCACCCCTCGTTTGGGCCTGTCCCAGCCACGGGGAGTCCCCGCAGCATCTCCCGGGTCAAAGCCATTCTACTCCCCACCCCCACTCCCCGCGTGCGTCTGCCACGGCTGTGTGTGCCCCTGCCAGAGCGGGAGGCCCCGACTGCCTGTGGGGAACTGCCCACAAGGGTCTGTGGATAGAGTACCAGTGGGGGCTGCTGGGGTATCATAGAATCATAGAATCATAAAACTGGAAGAGACCTCAGAAGGTCATCAAGTCCAGCCCCCTGCTCTAGGCAGGACCAATTCCAACTAAATCAACCCGGCCAGGGCTTTGTCAAGCCGAGACTTAAACACCTCTAGGGATGGAGACTCCACTACTTCCCTATGTAACCCATTCCAGTGCTTCACCACCCTCCTAGTGAAATAGATTTTCCTTATATCCAACCTCAACCTCCTCCACTGTAACTTGAGACCATTCCTCCTTGTTCTGCCAACTGTCACTACTGAGAACAGCCTCTCTCCATCCTCTTTGGAACCTCCCTTCAGGAAGTTGAAGGCTGCT